ATACAAATACTTTAGGTACTGCACACTAAAAATGTATATTTACAATTCAGTAGGCCTATTTTTTGTAAATAGGTCAGTTTAGCCATCATATTAAGAATAAGTACGGCTAGACTGCCAGTCTAGCCGTCATTAAGTACGGCTAGCCTCTTCCATTTTAATATTGTCAATAGGCCTACATATTAATGAATGGTGTAGCTGGTCAGTTAGGCATGACGACTCCCCCAACCATCCCCCAAAATTCGTAATTTGCAATTGCCGTTACTATGCGCGTTTGATGTTCGCAAGTGTGCTCAAAATGACCGCCTCCTTTCAACTTTTTGGATTTGGGGTATGACGAGATGGCTGTAACGTCTTGACTGCACCGATGTGACGAAATGACTGGTATTCCATGTAATGATGGGGTCCCGTATTCCCGCAGCTCAAGTGTGTGTACATCAGTCTGCTTGAGTTTGTGTGTTTGTGGCCTACTTCTAGAATTGTCTGTGTTGGTTTTACACAGAAATGTAGGCTAGCCTACGTTTCGTTCATAACACGCTTAGTTGGTAGCTCTAGATGTTCGTCCAATGAAATTAGTGAACAAATTGACTCACTTAGACATGAGGAGCTCGAAAGGATAGCCAGGAGGAAACAAGACTTGCATTTATACAAAATCTTTCAAATGAGCTTGAATTTGTGCAAAATGATATTACCTGATAATAATAAGTTTATAGTTTTGAGTACCATTGTGCTGGTAAAAAGAATTTGAGTTCAAAACTTTCTTGGATATTGACCTCTATACTATCCTTTCGAACCCCTGAATTTGTGTAACTACCCAATATGGCTTATCAACTTTTGACAGGAGGCTAGATCTATAACTTATTCATGTGTTTGTACCTAAGAGTATGATAGTCACCCCTTCTAATCGCACATATCTCGACTTCTAATCAAGATGGGTATTTTTTGCCAGAAAGATAGAAAATAAACAAGCTTTTAAGATAATACACGATAACTCCATATATATATATTTATGTCCAAAATTTGACAAGCACCTGATTCCGTCGCGCTGTGACATGGTCATGGTTACCATTGCACTGCTCAAACACACTGCTGTGGTCGAGATGGTGTTCGCCTCTCTTTCAATAAGTTCTGAGTTTGAATCCGGATAGCAACAGAAAATTTTCTTCTCTTAAGTTTTCTCCTTTCACCTCCTCTCCTGCTCTCTAACAATGCTCGTGGGTGATTGACGGGTGCTCCGTTGTGGTTTGCTTCTTCTTTCCTATCAAATGTCTATCGTCCTTATCTCACCTTTTTTCTTTTTTATGTTTGTTACTCTCTTGTAACACCTCTAATCTTCTGGCGCTCATATGACCTTATGCAGTTGCGAGCGCCGTAAAACCTCTACTAAAACTAAAAATCTTTAATGAACAACAAATTGAATAAAAATAATGTAAAAACATTTTTCTCCTCTCCAGTAAAAAATAATTGTATGTCTCACTACTGAAGCTAGTGCACGGGATGTGGGACCGGCTGCCAGCAAGACCATTCGTTGTTTACACACTCTCCATAATTTTTCCACCTCGTCACCTTCAACTCCTCTATTTTTAACTCCCGCGCTTCTTTCTACCTTGAGTTACAATTCGCATCCAGGGCCGGGTAGATGATGATAAAGTCTTGATACTAGATCATGTCCATTGCTTGATAATGATAATGAATCATGATGAATGGCTCTTTACATCTGTGACAGATGGTTGTTACCAGTTTTAATTTAATCCTCTAGGTATTGCTAACAAATAGCCTGTGTGGTGTCAGGGGAACAAGAAATTACATTTATGATTTCACCATATTATGTGGGAAAATGCTTGAGAACAGGCAAACCAAGTAAGTTAAGTCCATGCCATAAACATCTAACATTTTCAGAACTTGTTTCATGATACATGCTTTTTTTGGGTGTTTTTTTTTTTCCAGGTGACTTTCAAGAATACTAAAAGGCCAGTATGTGTGAACTTTGTGTGAAAGAAGAGTACCCAGACAGGGTGAGTGTGAGTTATACAGTCAACAGTAGTAATGGTTTCCATGCACAAAGTCTGTACTCTATTTTTCAAGAGTCCAGATACCCAAGTTGGATGAATGGAATTAAATTTATCATAAAGTTTCGATGATTAATACTTTAAAGAAAATTATTACCACAGGTTTTTTCACTTTGGTAGTAGCATTATAAATGAACATGCATCTGTGATTATCGATCTTTGATTTTATTTAAATATTTCTTGTATCACAACGCGGACAGGGTTGGGTTGATTTAAATCAGGTCGATTTATATCAGTCGATTTGTAAAATTTTAATCAACTTGATTTTTTAATATAAAAATCAGTGATTTAAATCACTTCAAAATTTTTTTATTTCTATTCAGTTTTTACCTATTTAGACATTCAGAATGTCTTTCCTTTGTTTTATAAAACAAATGTAAGGTTTAGTAGACTAAAATAATCATTTTTAACCCTATCCCTGACAACTGGGTGTAATCCACCCGTTCGCGTCAGAACTTTGAGAGTGTTCGTGTATCGTTCATCATAAAGAGACCAAACTCCATCTATTCTTCAAGAATGCCATTTCGCTTTGTCCTGTGTATTCAAACTAACCATTTGGTCACTTTGGTGTAGTAGGTAGCCATTTAGATTTTTTTTATACAGTCCCTGACAACTGGGTGTATCACACCCGTATACTTTTTATAGTAAAAATGTGTTAATAAAGAGAGCCAAGGACATGCTTTTTCAACTTCAATGAAAACTTTTAATTCAGAACAACCCATAAAAGCAGAAACAAGTAAGATTGAATACATGTAGGCCTATACTGTGCTAACAATATGGGCACTTTTCTGTACATGTAGTAGAAAAACAAACAGATCCCTTTATTCCTAACTTTTGCACAACATGAAAGAGCATTGTCTATTCTACTTGTGCTTATCTCACTAACAGTAACAGCTGAACATCTGAGTGGAAACTTTAGATCTCAGTGGAAGCAGAAGAACAATTCTGGCAGGATAGTACAGTATGCTCCCGGCAAATGTGACAGTGACAACTGGTGCATGTTGCTTTTGTTTCTGTCTCTCTTTGAGGGGCACAGTGCACATCTCTTCTGTGTCTTTGCAGGAGCAGCTCTTTCATGCATCCTTGCTTGCTTTGGTGGTTTTGAACCTGATGCTGTTGGCTGCTGTGTGGGTTGAAGAGACTTCAGCACGACAGAAATGTTCTCTTTCACACCTTTCTGCAAAGTAGGCACAGTTGCACGCCGAACAATATGGGCATGTGCCAGAGGTCGGCCAACATTCGCGTTGAAACTTTGCCTGCATTCCTCATATGAGAGAGTGTCTGCAGGATACTTCACCCTAAAGACCACCCTGGAAGCAATTGATGACAAATCCATCAATTGAAAAACACAACCAAAGGCCATCGCTTTGACAAGGCGTGGGCCATTTGGTCCATAGCGTCGACCCCTCCTTTTGTTTTGTTATAGTCCAGCACTATGTCAGGCTTTTTGGTCTCAGGGCAAATATCTGGCTTCCTGTGCATTGTGCTAAGAAGCATGACATTCTTGGGCCGCTAACTCTGGAACGATACCAGATTGGTCTCGTACCTGAACAGGAACTTTGAGTCACCTAGAGGAA